TAGAAAATGTCATTTTTGTTCATTTCATTCTTTGCAGTTGCAGGAAGCCGTAACACACACAACACACACTTATTACGGTAAGTACCTCTTGTATATAGGTTATTTATTGCAAATATTATTCTGAAAATACTTGACTTCAGAATTACATTTTTAAAAGTAAAGAATTGTTTTAAATCTATTTTGTAAAGATATAAAAGAAGCAATAGAATTTCTGGAGTACAGATTGAACTATTTGCACTAACACACGTGATGTGCATGATTTAATAAAATAACTTTACTCTCTCCCCCCCCCAAAAAAAAGGCCCCCATGGGAGAAGGAGGAAGTGAAGAGGGGCAGGGAAGCCCCTGAGAGAGTGTGACTTGTCCAAGTTCATCCAGTGGGTTTCATGGCAGAGTGGGGAATCGAACGCAGGTCTCCAGAGAGGCAGTCCAACGCTCAAACCACTACACCACGCTGCCTCCTATTCCCATGTACTACCTATGAAACAATTGCAGGCTTTTTGTTGTTCTTGTGTTCCTTCAAGTCCTTTCCGACTTATGGCAACCCTAAGGCAACCTTATCGTGGGGTTTTCTTGGCATGTTTCTTCAAAAGGGGGTTGCCATTACCCTCCTCTGAGGCTGAGAGTGTGTGACAGGCCCAGGGCCATTTCCTTGGCTACAGATTGTACATACCCCAGAATGCATGGCAGTCCTTCCCCCCAACACTTTCTCATTTTCCCCAAACCATCTCATAGCTGGGAGATGGAAATAATTTTTAAAGCAGCATTTAAATTTGGACTACTGTATTTTTTAAAAAGTAAAGTCCAAAACACACTGCAGAAATAAATGCTAGGGAACATGGGAGCTGTAGTTTGTTGCGTTTATAAGTGACAGTTTTCCTGCTAAGTACCTGCATGCCATAAGCATTTGAATTAAAATTACTAGATTGAAATCAAATCTCATGGTTTTTTAAAATTTTTATTTGGTGCGCGTCTTATACGGCGAGTATATCCCCAAACGCTATATTTTAGCTGGAAAAGGTGGTGGTAGTCTTATACGCCGGAAAATACGGGTAGTTGTATCTCCTTCTGGTTCTCAGGCTCTCAAGGTGGAGTGCCAGCTGAAGAAATAAATGAGAGAGGAAACTGTCAACAAGGAGGAGGTGAGGCGGAAGTTTGCAGAGTTACCGTTGTTGTTGTTGTTGTCGTTGTTGGTGGGGAAGTGTTTGTTAAACAAGGCCAGTGAAATCAAGGACGCTCAGCAGTCACAACTTGTGGAAGGAACACGGGTTGGAAAAAAGCAGGCAGAAGGGAGAGAAAGTCCTCACTTGGCTGTCCATTTATTTCATCCTTTTGGGGGACTGTTAAAACAGAATTGCAATTGCTAAGGTAGATGCGCAGTTTTTAAAAACAGAATTGCAATTGCAACCTCTCTGCTCCTGCTTTTCGGCCGCTTCCCGTCTTTCTAGCCACTGCTTTGTCCGTATACAACTGGATCAGTCCTGCTATTTATGCATAAATAATAGCTCAGATAGTCTTATAAAACCTTATAAAGGATTGGATAAATCATGAAAGATTGAATGCGGATGGATCTATCACATGCTGGGAGAGCTTAACTGAGCCTCCCTGTCCAGACGCAGTCTACCCTTCATGCCCAGGTTCAAGGGTCAAGGTGCTTTGGAGGCCTTGTTACCGTCACATCCTCTTTGGGGATTTTCCCAGGAGAAGAAATGGGCTGTCCTCTGTCTTGGAAGCAGGATGCTGGGCTAAAGAGATCTTTATGATCCCACGCCTTGGATGGATTGCTTTATTATTTCCAAGCTCTCTTATGGCTGATGGTTATTCATCTCATCCAACTCAAAACACACAGACACACACACAGTTATGGAACAAACTATCCTCACTTGGCCAGGGAGTTCTAAAGCGGAGTGGAATTTGAACCCACATCTCCCACTGTGCAACTTTGGCTAATTGGTGAAAGCCCGTTTCCTCACCCGGTTTGTTTGCAAGTAAACATTGAAATCAATTAAATAAAATGCAGCCAGCGTTTGAGCACTGGGCTATGACTCTGGAGACCAGGATTCGAAGCCCTGTTTGGCCATGCAAACTCACGGGGAACTATGGGCAAGTTACACTCTCTCAGCCTCAGAAGAAGGCAAAAGCAAACGCCTCTGAACAAACCTTGCCAAGAAAATCCCATGATAGGTTTGCCTTAGGGTTGCCATATGTTGGAAACAAAGGCACACAACAACCAACCGCTTTTACTGCAGTACATTTGTTGTTACTGATTAAGATAGCTTTGCCATTTGTGAGGGAGTTAAAGGTTTTGCATACCCCATGTATGCCCCCCGTACCACTCTCTCAGCCTCAGTAAACCCCATGATGATAGGATCACCTCAGGGCCGCCTAAGTTAGAAACAACCTGAAGGCACACAAGAATAATCTTTTCTTAAAAAATCTAAATGCGTATTAAACAGGCCTTGCAATTTGAAATAGTGGGAAAGGCTACCAGAGTGAAAGTGCAAGACATACAAAGCCATCTTTATTTACCTGCTGAATGCAATATTTATATATATATGTTTGAAATCCTCTCTTCAAGACTAGGCAAGGAGCTAGTCCCTTCCGTGACATTTTCCCAGGAGCTTTGAGGAGTGAGCGAGTGAGGGGGAATTCCCCCAAGAAGGATCCCAGCAGCCTCCTTCCTGGAAGTTATTATCCTGGCACACCTTGGCAGGTAAGAGGCGGCCACCTTTGCCCATGGGATGCCTTCCCACCTGCAGAGTGCCCAGCACACCTCCTTTTGTTCTCCATCTGCAAAAACCAGGACCTTTCCTTGCAGGCAATGCCCAGGTCCCATCTGCAGACACAAGGGCTTGGAGAAGCATCAGCGAGAGCAACGAGAAAAGAGCTTGGCTTCTCACTTTCCATCTTGGAGAGCCTGAAACTAGGCACAAAAATTAAAAGATTCCAGAAGCCTACAACCATTTTTCCATAAGCAGCACACTACTGGGAATCTTACACACACAAACACACACACCAGACATGCACAGGCAAACATTTGAAATCACGTTGTGTGCCCTCAAGTCGTTTCTGGCTTACGGCAGCCCTAAGGTGAACTTATCATGGGGCTTTCTTGGCAAGATTTGTTCAGAGGAGGTTTGCAATTGCCTCCCTCTAAGGCTGAGAGAGTGTGACGTACCCAGGGGCACTCAATGGGTTTCCATGACTGAGCAAAAGGGATTTGAAGCCTGCTCCCCAGAGTCCAACACTCAAACCATGATGCCATGCTGGTTCTCTGCATCTTTCTCCACTGGTTATACAAGGTAGACTGCTTTTGTGAATGGAGGCTCCACCTTAGCCTAACAGGGTTAACTTGGATTATTATGGGGAATGTCTGCCCAACATTACCAAAATAAACTTGGGTGCATGGGTGGAAGATACTCTTTGCTGCCCTGATTCAGGCAGCAGCATCCCTTGGGACGGCCGGGGCAGCATAGTTTTGAGCTTCGCTTTCGGTGTGAAGAAGCAACAGGAAATGGGCCGAGGAGCCTTTCGCGGTTCTCCGAAAACAGGAAATGTATCTGGTATTTCCCCCTCTCCTTTTCTAAAATCTAATCAGCATCCCTTACTTGAAAATAAGCCTCAGACCCTTTGAGTGTTGAAGGCAAATGGCCCGGCTTTGGTGATTCTCTGTCCCAAGGAGGCAGAAGATGTCAGTGCGGACAGAAAAGGCAGGTTTGGGAAGTCTCCGGGGAGAGGACAGCATGCAAGGGAGGAAAAGTTACTTTTCTGCACAGGCCACATACCAGAAATGAGTAAGATTTTATAAAAATTGGCAACCCAGGGGGAAATAAAGACTGATGGAGAAGGAATTTGTTAGCTGTTTGCATTGCTCAGTTGTTGTGTGTGCCTTGGAGCCATTTCTGACTTATGGCGACCCCAAGGCAGACCCATCATGGGGCGTTCTTGACCACTTTCTTCCGAGGGCTTGGCCACGGTCATCAGGACCTTCTTAAAAACTTCTGACGCGCTTTTGGAAATGCAAGGGCAGGGGTTTTTTTGCAAGTTTCGGCTTTTTAACAGTGAGGCATGGTGATTTTTTAAATTAATATGTTTCAAGTGGTTTTGAATGTTTTGTTGTTGTTGTCGTTGTTTCCAACTCATGAGGACCCTAAGGAAAACCTATAATGGGGTTTTTCCCCTGGGGCCTCAGAGGAAGGCGATGGCAAAGCCCTTCTGAAGAGACTTGCCAAGAAAACCCCATGATAGGGTCACCGTGAGTCGGAAACGACAAAAGCAACAACGACAATGACAACAACACATCATGCTGTTAAAGAGCTTAGCAAGCAGTCTGTTACGGCAAGAAAGGTGTCAGATGCTGATTGAATGGAAAGACAGGTAACGATGATGATGATATTAATAATGATAACAATAATGTGCCAAATGCCGGCCAACCCAGTGTGACTTTTGCGCAAGGAAAGCAACAGTTGTGCCTGATGCCAGCCGGCCGAAAGAGTTGTTGGTGGCCTTTGCCTTTGGGTTGTTGCAGAAATACAGCTGAGGCCACAAGAGCTCAGTTCCTCGCTTTGTGCAACAGAAGGATTCCCTTCCTTTCTTGCAGGTCTGAGCAATGCTTCACGTTGTGGGGGAAGAGCCCCCCTTAATCCGAAGCCAGACCCAGAGCTTCTCCTCCAGCGGATCGGGGCTCCTCCGGGTCTACCTTTACCACCAGCCAAACTCTCCCCAAATGGCCCCCGAAACCTCCGGCAGCCTCAGTTTCACCTTTGGGGAACACACTGCAGAGGAGCTGTGCATTGCTGCTGCCAAAGCATGCGGTGAGTGCAAAAGCTGCCACACACTCCAGTCTGGCAGGGATATAATCCTCTGCCTTCCCACTTTCTCAGATGCTTTTAAAATGTCCTGGTTTCCGTCTCCCGCAACAGGCATCCTTCCCGTCTGCCACTCGCTCTTCTCTCTGGCCACAGAGGACCTTTCCTGCTGGTTCCCCCCCAGCCACGTCTTCACGGTGGACGCGTCCTCCAGTCAAGTGGTCGTCTACAGGATCAGGTACGACAGAGTTCTCCTCCGAGGCGGCATCTGCACTGCCGGAAGAATGCAGTTTCACTCCGCTTTAACGCCCGTGGCTCCATCCTGTGGAACCATGGGGGATTTGTACTTTGCTGTGGCACCAGAGGTCTTGGACAGAGAAGGCCAAATATCTCACAGAACTACACATCCCAGGATTCCACAGCATGGAGCCATGGCAGTTAAAGTGGTGTCAAATTGCATTGTTTGTGCAGCACAGACGCAGCCTAAGTTCCACATTTGTTGTTCTTGTACCTACACTGCAGGGCACCATGGTGCTATTTTTGCCTTCAGTTTCCCTTCCTCTGTTTTTTCTTGGGTTCGGGGGCAGGTTCTTCTTCCCTAATTGGTTTGGACCGAGGAAATCGTACTTCTGGGGACTGACAAGCAACCAA